ATCAAAAAATTAAAACAGACCTTGAAACAAATTCAAGTCTAGTTATTTACCCCTTAAAAACTCATTAACACTGCTGACTTCAGCACCTGTTAATGAGTAAGTTCAAGAAGGAAACAGAAATCTGTAATCATCTGGGGCCATTTAACAAACCCAAAGGCCAGATCCCATCTCAGTTTTCCCCACTGGCTGCCTTGGGTTGTTTTAATTAAGCAAATTATGCTTCCAAGTCCCCTGCCACGCTCTTTGGGCAAAGGTGCAAGCATTGGCATTACCGAGTCTCTGGGGTGTCTCATTCACTGCTGTGGCCACGTCCCTCCCCTCCCGAGCATCTCATCCCTGAATCCTCAGAGAGGAACGTTGGGGGTGCTGCCCTGGACACCCCAGAGGCAGGAGAGCTCCCAGGGCTCTGCTGAGCATGTTCATCACAGCCACCCATTGTGTGCCATCCCCATTGTGTGCCATCCCCATTGTGTGCCATCCCTTCCCGCTGCTGACTGCAGTGTGCAACCATGGAACTCTTCTGGCTGGAACTCTGGAACCTTCGGTGCCTTGGCTCCAACCATTCCCAGCACTGCCATGGCCACCATGTCCCCAGGTGCCACCTTCACATGGCTTTTGAATCCCTCCAGGCACGGGGGCTCCAGCACTGCTTTGAGCAGCTGTGCCAGGCCTGGACAAACCTTTCCATGAAGGAATTTTCCCCAATACCAAATGCAAACTTGCCCTGGCCCAGCCTGAGGCCGTTCCCTCTGCTCCTGTCCCTCTCCCTGGCTGTCCCTCCTGGCAGGAGCTGTGCAGAGACACAAGGGCCCCCTGAGCCTCCTTTGCTCCAGGCTGAGCCCCTGCCCAGCTCCCCAGGGATTCTCCAGCCCCTTCCCCAGCTCCATTCCCTTCCCTGGACACCCTCCAGCCCCTCCAGATCTCTCTTGTCCAAGACTGACCCCAGAATCTGAGGTCCCTCAGCAGGCCCTGGCACAGGGATTGTCACTGCCTTGGTCCTATGACCACACTGTTGTGGCCATATGATTATCTTATAAGCCTGATGTCCCTAATTTTGAGTGGCTTACATGGCAATGCGATTTATGATTTTCCCTTCTGTCATCTCCCCCCACCCTCCTTGCACATCTGCACCTCAGCTCAGGGCAGAGGGATCCAGCACAGCACCCACCATCCAGAGTGGATTCACTCTCCAGCTCAGCTGTTATTCCTTAATATCTCTTCACATCAGTTTTGGGTATGACAACAAAATATGAACAAAAGTGTAGAGGTGAGCAGGAAATATTTTGGTTTAGAAAACAGCTGAGATGTGTGAAGGCGCTCAGGCGTGAAGTTTACTGCTATCTAAGCTCAAATGGATAAATTTAGATGTTGGCATTCATAATCTTCCCTAGAAAAGAGATGATATTGTTTAATCAAGAGGTCAAAAAGAATTTAAAATTGTCCCATTTTCTTCTTTTTTCTCCTTTTTAATAATTCAGCCTAGTGCCCAATAGGGTAATAGATAGTGAAAGACGGATGGAGAACTAGATATTCATGGGGAATACATTCTTCATGAAAGCTAGGTGAGAAATTATTATTAAAAATGTTCCTGTCTTCAGCAGAAACAAGACTAATCTTTTCATTTCTAACTTACCTTGTATTTATGAGACATCAGCTGCAGACAGGAAAGGAAATTGCCGCATTGCCTAAGAGCAGCATCAGCAAGTCCTGACAGCTTGTTAAAAGCCGTGACCAAAGGCAGGGTGATGCACATCCATCACCCGTGGCAGGCACCTCGTGGAGCTTGGCCTGGGCTGGCCCTTGGCCACATCTCTGAGGTGGGTGGCTCGTGTGGCCCTCAGTGGGACCCTTCACACGTCCCTGCAGCTGCCCCAGGGATGGGAATGTTGGCCACTCACTAAAAATAAACACAGTTCTGTCCCACGGCTCTGTCCTCCCATGGTTCCAGCCTGACTTCATGTACAACATGGATTTTCCAGCCCTTACAATCCCATTTCTTGCCAGATAATGGAAGTAAAGGCCCAAAGCAGTGCAGCCAATAGAAGATAGAGCCCACAGTGGGGAAATATCATATTCAATCCTTGGGATGCTCTAGCATAAACCATGGCTTTGAACTCTGAGTCCCAGAGATTTGGATTTCCAAGTGTAATTCCCATCCACGAGCAGAGCCCAAGATTTACATTTCATTAATAATCCCAAAGCATCCTTTTCACATGAGGCACGTGGTGGAAATATATAACTCTGGAGATTACCTGGCCCGGCCTCCTGCTGAAAGAAGGGCCTTAGATTAAGTTATCCAGGTCCATGTAAAGCCAAGTCTTGAACAGTTGGATTTGGACATGAAATAATGAGTAATACAGTAAGTAGAGTCATCATTACTGCAGTGAAGTCACACAAAAGATTAGGAAAAAGACACTCAGCTGGGCCTAGAGGAAACAGCAATCCCAGCCCCAGCACCTGTAAAGCAGAGAAGTATTTGGGTGCTCCTTCCAACTTCGATCCTAATAAAGCAACCTATACATCCTGCAAACTGCATTTACAGATTTCATACAGAGAAGTGTAGCCTTGAAAGTAATTTTTCTTTTTTTCCCCCTCAGCATAGTGATGTTATTACCACTTGTATTTCTGCTGGCAGGAAGCTCTTGCCTACAGCTGCAAACCAATATAAACTCCAACTTTCTGGGTCATCAGAAATGTAATGGACAAAGTGCTCTCTGCAGTTACCTCATCCATAAGATAACTGAGTTAAAGCACGAACACTGTGGCAAAACTTGTTCACTGTCCCTTCTTTGCTGGTTCCCCTTTCTTTTTAAACACTTCATTTCACAAACATTTCATTGCATAAACATGGAGCAGAGCAAAGCCTAACAGGAACAGGTTTGAATTAGTAAACAGCAGAGGAAAAAAACCTATCCAAAATAACTGGGAATCTAGAATGGGATAAAAGTTCTTCTCCAAAAGGGTTGTCAAGTTCTAGAGGGATTTAAAAGCCCTTTGGATGTGGCAATGGGGACGTGGGTCAGTGGTGGCCTTGGCAGTGCTGGGGGCTGGTTTGACTGGATGATTTTAAAGGTCTTTTCAAACATAAATGATTCCATGATTGATAATCTCATACCAATACTTCTCCTCCTCACTTCACCCAGTCCAGAAGTAAAAAGGACTCAGTTTTTCATTTGTCCCAGGTTAAAACCACACCATTCCCTCTCATTTTAAGGACCAGTGTGGATGTCCCATGCATTTTACCAGGCTTCTCCTATTAAATGGTTGATGGCTGTGCACGAGCTCATTACTTGGATTATCCTGCTGTTGTTATGGAGCATTATTCTGGTTGTTTATACAAATTTCACACAGGAAAGTTGTAGTAGGCTGATAAACACCTCCTTACACATTACAAAGGGTCTGAGCAGGAGAAATGTATATCTTTGCATTCTACATTATGGCCCACACAAAAGGTGGAAGCAGTTAAAAGGTAACACTTCCCATGTTTATTTACACCTATAGTCTTATGTACACAAATGGTGGAAGTTCTTTATCACAAACCAGTATTTCTCAGCTCCTTACTTCACTGATTTCCTCCTTTCAGTAAAACTATGGAACCATGAGCAGCCTCCCAACTCACTTTCTGGTTATTTCTAGTAAAAGTGGTTCTTCCATGCCACCATGGCATCACTAAGCCCAGGAAAGGCTCAGTTTTAAATCTGCTTTATCACAGAGAAACCTTAGATGGTGTTGAACAAAGCCTTGAATACATAACACTCCCCATGGAGTGATATTCTCTGATATGTAAAATCAGGATGTGTACAATGAAGTGCTGCATTTGCTGGTGCCATCCCTTTGTATTTCCATCCCAAACCCCTTAGCACTGGTTGGCATCTTCCCTCTCCTGTTCCCCACTGTTCTTCTCCTGTCTAACACCACATAGCCTGCATTATGCGTAGGGAAACAGAGGAATATTTTATGTCAGGCTGTGCCCCTGCAGGAGCAATCCCACTGATTTCAGGCATGGAAAAGGGAGAGCAGCAGAGACTGGTGGGAGTTTGCACCTTGCCCAGCCCTCGAGGCAGCGTGAGGCTTCTCATCTCTGTTTCCTTCCACTGGCACACTGGGAGGATGAAGGTACAGAGGAGCTTTAGGAAGTGGCTCGTGTTCATGCACTGACCCTTAGCTCAAAAAGGCCATATAAGAACAGGGTAATTGAATTAAACGTAGCCCAAGGCTGCAGGGTACTGAGGGGGAGAGTTTAATCTTTGTGCTTTTGGTAAAAAACAGACTGCACTCACTGACAATCTTCCCATCCACCTTCCCTTCCTGGAAGGGCAATAAACCCAGCTGTGGCTATCCAAGTGTGCTGGAAAATCCCAGTGCAGCAGGAGCTGCACCACTCTGGGCAGCAAGCAATCCCCAGGGCCCCTCTCCTTTCCCCAAGGAGCAATGCTGCAAAGAACATATATTTTATGTTTGTAAAATGCTTGGAAAGGTTGGAAACAAATGTGTTCAAGATTTGCAAACCTTTTACCTGGTTCCATTAAGTATAAAAGCCTGGGCTTATTACTGTAGCCTTCTAAATAAAAGCTGAAAACAAGATCATTTTTAATTGCAAGGAGCACAAAACCAAGCTCAGTGCAGTCATCTTCTTAAAATTCACACCTTGAAATTCAGCCCTTATTCAAAGATAAACCTAATTATTTTCAGGGGATAAGCACTTGCAGGTTGCTGGAAGAATAATAAAAAAAAATACCGTTATAAATAGTTTAAAAAAGGGATTTAATGCAGTAAACACAGGGGGATTTCTCTCTTTCAGCTGATGAGCAGCACACATCACTGCCATGGTGAATATTCATGGCAGTGCTGGAGCTGGAAACCTCTGGGCTGTGCTCTAGCTCTCTGAGCTTCTGCAGAAGTAGAAATTGCTCTTATCTGCTCTCACAGGATCACTGTGGTGGGGCTGCTCCAGCCTGAACCTCTGCTCCACCAGCCTGAGGTTTGTGGAAATGACTTACCTGCCTCATTGCTTGAATGAGGAATTTGGAGGGAAAGCACAGTGTGGTGGCTGCCAGGCTGCTCATCCTCTTCCTCTGCTGCTGCTGCCTTGTGAGGTCCTCTGGGAATATCCACAAATGCTGCAAGTCCCGAGGCAAAGACACTTTGCAAAGGGTATTTACGACCCAAATGTCCTTCCTCTGTTTTCTCCTCCTTAATTACCTTATTTCCCGTGAAGTCTGAGCTCAGGTGGGATCTGAGCGGAGCTCCGTGTGCTCCTGGGAGCTTCCTTGGAGCTGTCTCCTCCATGGGCTCTCCATTAGCTATGCCATCTACTCCATCTGCTGTTAATCCGGACAAACTGCACTTCAGGCTCAAGGACAACGTGGATCTGTACAATTTTTGGCATTTAACTCGAGGTTGGTCAATGCACACACTGAGCGACCTGTCCAGATAATAGATGGTGTTTGGACAGGGCTCACACACCTGGAGCTGGACACAGGAGATGAATGAAGGTGGAATTTTCTCCCTCCCATCACTGCTTTGGAGACCCACGCCATCCTCCTTGATTCCAGGGTCAAAAAGCTGCTTTTGGGGTCCTTCACCTAATCTTGAGCAAGACTTGGAAGCCTTTAAAGGAGGTTGGATGGCGTGGGCTGGGGGAGGCCAGCGCTCGAGGAGAGCGGGGACTGTGCTGGGCGTGGGGGACACGGTGCTGGGCTCCTGGCCAGCCCCAGGGCCACCTGCCAGCTCCCCAGAGCCCACAGGAACACGCCTGGCCGTGACAGTGATGGAGGCAAAGCCTCTCTGCTGGCCTGGACACTGCTTTGGGCTGGGAGAGTCCGACGGTGACATGGTGTCCTCTAAGGATGCCTGGATCTCCAAGCGGCTGGGAAGCACCAGAAATGTTCTGCTAACGATGGCTGAGCCCTGGGTAGGCAAGGGTGGCTCTGTGTGAGGAGCTCTGGGCTGGGGGAGCAGGGCCTGCATAGGCACAGAGGGTTTCTCCTCATCAATCTGTGCAGTGATTACTGGTGAAATCAATGTTGTGTTTTGGGAAGGGAGAGATTCCTGTAAATGAAAAGATTCCCAGTTATCACCATACTCCAATATCCTGTGTGCAACTGTTTCTCGTCCACCATCTATCACAGCAGACAGTTTTGTTCAAGATCTCTTGTTACTTTTCTATTCATAACAACTTTTTTGTCATTTAAAAATGCACGCTCTTGAAATCAGCTCGGAATTGTCTGGGAGGCTTCAATGAAAACTTTATCACTCTGGTGAAGGGAAAAATATTAAAATTTAAAACCTGTATTCCATAGCATTATTTTGAGTATTTAACTCATGACCATAGATGGGATTGGTGGGTGTTTAAAAATGGACATGGCAAAGACAGTTGCCAGTTTCAGACTATAAATTCCTCTTTCATGATGATCTCCTGGAATTTAGAATGCATTTAAGTGCATTATGAATCACTGCCCTGTGACATCACATGCTGTAGAAGACATGTGGGCACCAGGGGCATGACAGCTTTACAACCTCACCAGATATAGGCATGAAAAACTCCCAAAAAAGAGATACAGTTACTCATAAGGGCTCTGAGTACTATTTTAATGAATTAGTTCCCTCTTTCTTATGATTCCCTGGTGACACCTGCCAACAATGTACAAACACATATGTACAAGATTGATTGACAGCGGCCCAGAGACTGAGAGTGGCCCAGATTAATTTTTCCATCCATGACAGGAAATATTCATCTTGATAGACCACACCTTACTTCCCTTGAGGTGACAAAGGAGGTGCTTTTATGTTCGAGCTCTCTAACAGAGTAAACCTGAGTTTAAAGCCTCCTGTTGTTATTATCTACCCCATTGGGCACGTAAGTCCCATGCAATAAAGCATCTGGCCTAATCTCATTGCTGCTGTAAATTGGCTGATTAGATTGTTCCTGCCCTGTGTTCCCAGATCCCTTGATCCTAATAGAAAACAAACAAAAAAAAAATCCATACACAACATTGAATTGGCATGCAGAATGTGAGGATCAGCTTCCTAAAGAAAGCCCATTCTGTGTTTAGGTGCCATCAACTCCTGCTTGTTGGGAATTTACCCCAGTCCTAGCTGAGTGTCTCTATCACCTGATAATCAATGCTAGGACTCAACAAGGGCTTCAAAACACAACATTGTTCTTCCTCCAGGAGGACTGCGAGGGTGACACTGCTCTGACCTCCCTGGTGCCATGGTCACCCTTCTCAGGAAGGAGGAAATGATTCTCAGGTTTAGCTTTTCTATGTTTCACATTCTGTGCTGCTTTAATGTGCACTTCTGAGCTTCATATTAGGGGATGGTGAGCTCTGTGCACAGAGCAGGGAGACAAAACAATTCCTGCTCCAGCTGGGCACCAAGGACAAATGATCCCAATCTCAGCCCAGGAGCACAAACACCGTGGGCTGGAGAGAGAAAAACAAGCAGGGTGGGACTGCAGGGGCTAAAGCTGGAATGGGACAATGAACTGCAAGGTGCAAATGGAGCAGAACTGATCCCAGGGACAGACCCCGTGCCTGGCCGTGCATTTTGGGGCCATTTTGGTTCATCTTGGGTGCAGCCCTGGCTGGGCTCTGGTGCTGCCCAAGGTGGATCCATGGAGGAGATCCTTTGAATAAATCCCTGCTTTATTCTTTAACTCCATCCAACCTCTGTTCTAGATCAGCCTTCTCAAGGCATCAGGGTGACACCACACTGGAGCCCATGGGGAGATGATTTTTAAGGACCCTTCCAACTCAAACCATTCCATGATTCTGAGCTCCTATGAAACCATCCCTGTGCTCCTCCTCCATGCAAGAAAACATCACCAGGAACACTTTCTTTGTATCCCTTGGGAAGGAGCCTCTTGGGAACCCAAATGGGCAGAGGTAGATCAAGAGTTTATTAACGAGGTGAAATGGAGTTGATAAATTTTATCAACTCTTTTAAACCAGCTGCCTGTGGTTTGGACAATTCAATAATTTCACAGCCTCAGGGAAAGCATTTTCTTCCTCCTCTGTTTCTTTCATGGTTTGTAACAACATTTGCCTCATATTTTCTTCACTTCATTTACTTCTACCTACAGGTTTAAGACCTTTGCATGCCTTCCAAAACTCTCAAGTTCCCTCAGATTTCTACAGGGCACCAAAGAAGAATGTTCCTTGAGAGACTTTATTTTGGATGCATCTCTCATGCTCCAGTAGTTAATTTGACATTTATTTCTTTTGTTGAGGGCTGCACAGATGGAGACATCCTGCAAGAGTCCAAAGGCATGTCAGAAATGCTCCTGATTAGCTACAGACTCCTGCGCCAATATTTTAAATAATTTACATTCCTTTTTTTCTGTAGAAAATATGTATTATTTCCTCCTCTCAATCTTTAACAAAGAATTGGATCTTTAAGGTTTGCCCAGCTGATCCTGTGCTCGTTGGGAGCTTTCAAGTTTCACTGCATCTTGTGAAAAAAATCCACACATACACAAAGTAATTGTGGTGAGCTGAAAACCTCAGGCTTTGTCCTGAGGATATATCAGGCAGAATGTACTGATATTTGGGATATTGCTTGATTTAGCCTCGTGGGGGGTTTTTTACAACTTCTTTTCCCCAACAAAACTATGCCATTTTTCCCCATCACCAAGAGCATGCAGAATCACAACACTTAGCCATCGTTATATTTGGCTTTTCTGCTGCCTAAGCTAAGCTTAGCTAAACAAAACCAAGTCCAAACATTCTGCTCAGCAATCAGTGATTGTTTTTTAAACCCTCCTGCATTCTGCTGACTGCTCCCCAAGCAGAATTTATTTATTTTACCTTGGTAGGGCTGGATTTCCCCCACACACTGCTCTCCCACTGAAGGCCTGTGCATGTCCTCTGACCATCAGGGCCCCAGCGCTTTTGTGTCATCCCTGGGGAAAAACACAGAGAAAGGAACATTGTTGTCAGTGTCCTGGAGGAGATGAGTTAGAAAATGTGCTTTTCAATGGAGTGCAGCAGGAGGGAAGGAGTCCTGGAAGTGATCTGATTGCCCTGGGATCTGTTTCTCCCCTGCACAGAAGAGGCTGTGGAAAAACCCTGGGATTCTATTGCTGGGACTTGGGCAGTCCCACACTGTGTCCAGGGCTGATCCAAAGCTGCACCATCTCTGCTTTTGATTTCCATGGCTTTGGGCAGCACTGTGGAGGGACTGGGGAAGCTGGGAAATGTGGATTTCTATTATAATCCTACATTAATTAAGGGATGGGACCACAGTTGAGCTAAGAACAATTTATTGCTCAGACAAACATCAGTCTCAGAGGCCCTGAGATTTCAGAGGAGCAAGCATTTGGCCATAGCTCAGAGCAGTCACAAGTTCTTTGTTACAAGGCAATCTAGAACTTTCTAACCCCATGGACAGCTGCCACAGGGTTTATTTTGCTTTTCTGACCCATCACCTTTACTCACTTCTGCTGCACTGAGGATGCTTTTGTCCAATGGGCTTCTGTCTCACAGGCACACATCTGCTTCTGTTCTAACTTCTGAACTCTCAGCTCGTTCCATTCAGCCCCACCCCTGCATTATAAACGCTTCACCATCTCATCAGTGCAGTTCCTCACTCACTTCAGGCAGATTCTTACTTACAACTATAGAAACACAAGTTTATTATTTTTCTGCTTAATATCTGTTTATTGTCTTTTTACATCACTCCAAGCTTCTCCCAAGGCTGCAGATCAAACCCTTCAATGTCTGTGGAAGTTTCTATCTTTCCATTTCCCACAGATTTCAACAAACACCCCTTCTGTGCCCTCTGCAGAACGGGGAGCACAGCCCAGCAACGAGCTGGATTTCACTGGCACTGAGTCACCTTCACATTTAAAAATCTGCAGTGATTCCAAACCATGTCCACAAATTCTATTACATCCCAGCATTCCCAGTTCAGTGATAACTATTCCACCAGCACCTCAACCTCTGCTCTTGTCACGGGCTGTTTTCTGCAAGCACTATTCCCTCTCTGCAGCTTTTTGCATGGAGCTAATTTCCATTTAACACAGTCTGGGCTATTGCACCGATGCATTACGTCTGCTATCAACTGTTTTGCCAGAAATTACGTTACTTTCTAGTTTGTATTAAGCATCCAAAATTAATTTTCAGAAATTCTCCATTTGGACTGAAATCTCTTGACGTTCCTGGCTGTTGTTTTACAGCAACATGTCACACCACTGGTAAGACCTTTTGTATTATTTTTCTTCCACCCAGGCAGGCTGCCACAGGAGAAAATTTTTTGCTAAGCAGAATTTCAGTTTATGTGTTACATTATATTAACAAAGGAATATAAATCATCTCCACTTTAGGAACTGTTTATTAAACCATGCCCACCACAACAGAATTCATCTCCTTGGTGAAGGGCAAGAGGGGGAAGATATCAGATCTATCCCTCAAGAAATCTTTAGTCCCACCACAACATTTAGAGGGTGTTTGATGAGCTTTTTGTTTTGATAAGGTACACTAAAATATACTTTAACATTTCCCTAGCATAACTCCAAGATGCCACCATGTATGTCCATAGCTGGCATGAAGGAAGAGGTTTGTTTTTGTCATTGAGCAAGAGAGTCCAGAGCCACAGAGCAAACAGCTGGACTCATTAGCCACAGTGTGGGAAAAACCAGAGTCCAGCAAACAGCCAGAGCAGAGGGCCCACTCCATGGTTTTTGGCAAAGGAATGATGCTGGGTTGCCATCAGTGCAAAGGCAGGGAACCTGGTCTAGCACTGGAAACTGCTGGCACCAAACACAGGTGAGATGCCTTGGAGCCAGCTCCTCACCCTGCTGTGGTGCACAGTGAGGAGCACAGGATCCAAGGACAAAATCCTCTTCTCTGCTGCTGGGGAAGCCTCATGGAAAGGTTATTTTCAGTGTATCAGTGCTGTGATCAATCACATGTGGGCACCTTCATGGTGAAGAGCAGCCATGCTTGCTCTTATTTATTTTTTAAAGCAACTAAATAGGGAATAACCTGTGGAGAGGGGTAAAGAAGAAATTCTTGGATTGAATAAGACATTAACAGAAAATTGATTAAAACCCCTACGTAATTAAAGCAACAACTTCCACTAAGTTATCAATATTTTCCTGAAATGCTTTGCAGTAAAAACCCCACAGTTCTCAGATCAAGGAGGAAACTACAACAGGTGATCATCAACTTCTGAATGTCAGCTGGTGCACAAGGAAATCCAGAGGCAGTGCAGGGATAAATCAGTTCGCATAGGCTCATTCTTCCATGAATTTAATTCAAGTCCATTTCCAGCACCAGAGAAAGACTGAGTACTACAGGGTTAAAGAAGAATAAGTTGTCTAAGTCCACACAGCAGATTGCACAGAAGAGGTAGATTATTCTTATCCAAGTAATCTCCCACAATTACCAATAATCTGTGGTACAACCTTCCAATATCTCACAGATCCTTGGAAAAGATTGGTAAATTCTTGCGTGTCTAACTTTAAAAATAGCTCTTTCTGGAGCAGGAGGGGCAGGAAGAATAGAGACAAGAAGAAGAAGAAGAAGAAGAAGACGAAGACGAAGAAGAAGAGGAAATATTTATTTCCTTTGCTAAATCATCCACAGTGGAGTTTTGCATTGTCTTTTGTACCCTATCCCATGCAAGGACATTCTCATATTGCTATAGGAATCCTACAGCTGGAAAACACTCCAACTTTTGGCAAGTCATTGAATGTATTTGCTGAGACAGATTAAATGGCCTTGGTGGCAAAAGCACTGGCATTTATCATGGTATTATTAAATCTATCGTTGGAAGCTTCACGTTTATTAATTCATGCTAAGAGAACAAGCATAAAAAACCCGCAAACCTTTAAAAAGAGCTTGAATCTGTGTTTGCAATGAAGGCACTACAGGCAGCACAAGGCTTTAGCAGAGACATGTCCCACACTGAGCATTCAAATGCTCACTGCTGACAAAACACATTGCCCTGGAACCCTTGTTACACAACAAAATGCAAAGTTCACTTTTCCCTGGTGTGAAAACATGAAAGAAATGGCATTTCAAGTACTTTCTGTCTCTGTGGGGAGCAGGAGAAACTTATTTCACTCCAAGCTGAAATCCTGAGGATTGGTTTAACCTCCCCAGACCTTCCCTTCCCACCACAATCCATTAAAAATGGGAGATGCCACAAGGAACAACTGCTGGCACGTGACCTCTATCCTGTGACATCTTCACTCTTCTTAATTTCCTCCCCTCACAAATCCTGTTTGTTGAACCAAAGGCTGCGTTCCTTGGTAAGGGAGCTGGGGGTGCTCAGCCTGGAGAAAAGGAGACTCAGGGCTGCCCCCATCACTCTCACAGCTCCTGAAAGGTGCCTGTGCTCAGCTGGGGCTGGGCTCTTTCTCCAGCAGCACTGACACAACCAGAGCACACAGCCTCAACTGCATCAAGGGAAATACAGGTTGGATATCAGGAAAAAGTTTTTTCCAGCAAGGGTGATAAAGTTGTGGAATGGCTGCCCGGGGAGGTGGTGCAGTCCCCATCCCTGGGTGTGTTTAACAAGGCCTGGATGTGGCACTGGGTGCCAGGGTTCAGTTGAGGTGTTGAGGCTGGGTTGGACTCGATGATCTTGAAGGTCTCTTCCAACCCAGTGATTCTGTGAGTTCTGTGAATTCTGTGAGGCATCTGAACATCCGGCTGCAGCCCAGGGTTTTCCTAATTACAGAGTGCAGCTGGAACCAATTCCCCCGTCTCGAGTGCCTGGATCCTGCCTCGGGCCAACTGGCAGCTGCCTCAGATAATGGCTCAGAAAAGATGTGCTTGTAAATCAGCTGCTGGAGCCCAGATCGATGGCAAAGGTGAGGGAGCTGCTGAGGAATCACGGCCTGGGAATGTTTGGCAGGCCCGGGACAGCCCCACACGGAGCCAGCTCAGGTTTTGTGCAAAACTTTGGACTCACATTAAAACCATGAAAAATGCTGGTTTTCCCAGTGGTTCAGGTCTTTGCCAGGCTGAGGGACACTGTTTGATGATAAACCAGAAATGACAAGGACATTGAGGGGCTGGAAGGTGTCCAGGGAAGAGAATGGAGCTGGGAAGGGCCTGGAGAATCCCTGAGGAGCTGGGCAGGGGCTGCAGAATCCCTGAGGAGCTGGGCAGGGGCTGCAGAATCCCTGAGGAGCTGGGAAGGGGCTCACCTGGAGCAAAGGAGGCTCAGGGGCCCTTGTGGCTCTGCACAGCTCCTGCCAGGAGGGCACAGCCGGGGGGAACAGGGACAGGAGCAGAGGGAACGGCCTCAGGCTGGGCCAGGGCAGGTCCAGGGTGGATTTTGGGAAAATTCCTTCACCAAAAGGGTTTTCAAGAATTGGAACAAGCTGCCTGGGGAAGTAGCAGTATCACTACCCCTGGAAGTGTTCAGAAATCTTGTGGATGTGGTACTTGGGCACAAGGGGTGACCTTGGCAGTGCAGGGGAAATGGTTGGACTTGATCTTAGAGAGCTTTTCCAACTTCAAGCATTCTATGATTGACACCCAGAGTGGCACCAGGCAGAGCTGGAATGACTTCAGACCACTGGCCCTGGCCTCAGCCCCAGTTTTTGTCAGGAATGTGGCATATTTTAGTCACTTGCTGTTCACATGCTGACAAATCTCAAAAGTGTGTCAGCACTTCTGATCTCCTTTGTTCTGCTTCAAGCCCTGCTTGCTCTGCACTGATCATGTCCCCTGTCCCCTCTGAGCCACCAGCATCACCTCACAGTGAACTCTGGAGCCTCCAGGAACCTCCGGTGCTTCCCTGAGAACACCATCAAACAGCACTGCAGAACACACACACTGCTCTGAAAAGAGTGGAAACCTCCTCCACTTTACAAAAAAATTACCTTTTTTGTTGATCTCAGCTCAGCATCCACGAGACTGGTGAGGGGAGTTGAGCTCCCATCCA